AACAACCTCAAGAGTAAAAACAAATCAGTTTATCTGGTCCAATTGTATGTCCTTAAACACCCAAAAGGGAAGTATAACCAAATATGGGCCAACATAATATCATAAGAGCATACATATACATAACTAAAAGTTACTCGACAAACAACAAAGCCAGACAGGCGATACCTTCGTCGAGTTGTTGGCTAGGATAGATAAAGGCTCTTCCAGACAGTAACCCAACATACTACAGGAAAAATGAACAGCAGACTCCAATTCTATCCAAAGGAATACTGAAAACAAACTTTTAAAAAATTATGGGAAGAAAACTTGTTTGAGGTTTAGTTATAGAGGTTTGAAATGTGTGCTCACAAAGCTGATGACAAAGAGAATATTGGTGAAGGACTGATAAGGGGTGAGAAAGCTCTTTATTAAAGGAAAGACTGGGAGTTAATGTGAAGGTGTTTTCTAATTGAAATTGATATTGCTGTTCTTTCGGACCGCAAATCCTAGCTCTTAATTTCAGGAGACAAGATAGTTGTGGCCCTGTTAGTAACATGGTATATGTGCCCGACTGTCTTCCATCAGAGCAAGAAAAGGATGCAAGTTAAGAGGCATGCCAAGCCCAAAATGTTATGGAAATCAAAGGCCTGCATGTTGAGTGCATCAATTCGAAGTACTTAAACAGAACACTAGACATGGAAGAGACTAAATAGTGGATATTCTCGTTTGTAAAAGTCACACTGGCTAGGAAATATAGTCTATTTGTTAAGATGGTGTCTTAAAATTTTTTAATTGAATTTTTGTGTATTTCATAGAGAAAATTATCTTTATATGCCTTTGCCCTTTGACACCATCCCATAGCCCACCCTACTTGAGTTCATATATTCTGTCATTTGTGTTAAGGCCTAATCATGTAAATTTATTGTCCCCAGATGTCCCTCAGTACAAGTTCACCCACTGGGATTTAGTCAGCCTATCTAGAGTCCCTCCCTTTAAGATCAGCTCTTCCTCACCCAGAAGTAATCAACTGCCAATAATTCTTCAACTAAGATTGGGGCCTGTTGTTCATTTCCACAGTTCTGTGCTGGGTTTTTGTCTGCTTAAGTTTGCATGGGTCTTGTGTATGCTGACACCACTGCTGTTAAGTTCATATGAGAAGAGTCCCAGGAACCTGTAGGTCTATTTTCATATGGTCGTGCACCTCCTCTCTGGCTCTTACAATCTTTCTGCCCCCTCTTCTGCAATGGTCCCTGAGCCCTGGGTGGGTGGATTTTAATACAGAAGTCCTGTCCAGTGACCCACACTTTGCAGACTCTTAGTCTCTGCGTTTTGGCCATTTGTGACCTTTTGCTTTCCTGGCCCTCTGTTGCATGAGGGAGCTTCATTGATGAGAGCTGAAAGGTTCATTAGTATTCTTTTCATCCCTTGTTCTATGTTCTGTGAGCCTTAGGTGTAGAGGTTGCATCCTAGAAAGATGGCGTTTTATTAGGTTTAACAAATACTAAAGATGATTATAGTTCAGCTATAGAAACAGAGGTCCTCAGTTTAGAGGGCTAAGATGTTTCTATCTTGATTGAGCATTCAGAAATGCAGGCTTCTCTATCACAAAGCTCTGCCATCCTTAGAAGGTTAACTTTTTCTTCTTGATTCAATCACACATCATCACATCTGCAATCTTGCTAGAGAAAAGGGGAACAAAGTGGAAGACAGAGGGCACAGGCTCTTCCCAGTACATGACTCAGAACTTAAATATCACTTCCCTTTATATCCCTTTAACCAGAACTCTGTCTTATGGCTTCACCTAGCTGGAAGGGAGACTGAGAAACATAGTGCCTTCCCCCAACTGTATGCCTATATAGTCAGCCAAAATAAAGGAGAAAAAAGAACGGATGCTATTAGCAGTCTCTGCCACACACAGAAACAGTTCCATATGGGATGTTTAGTTTGTGCATTTGGAAATCTGCACATTGGCATGGATTACATGGAATGGGATCAATGCATTGTGTCTCTCTGTTGCAGATAAATCCGAATGGTCCAGCCTGGTGCTGGTGGACATTAGCAGTTCTTCCCTTGGAAAGCAGAGCTCAACTCCCCTTTCTAGCGATGAAGTCCTTAAAGGATAGACTGAATGGTATTCGACGAATCTTGGCCTTCATAACCCGAAACCAAAACTAACATGAGTGGACTGCGGAAGAGGAGATTTTAGCCTCCCCACTGCCACAGGGAGATGTTCTTGCAAATATATCTAATTGCAATAACGTCTTAACAGAAGAGGGTATCATAGAGAGATATTACTCTGCTTTTTAATCACACAGAAATTGAGTAGAAAGACCAAAAAGATGTGATCTGTTTGACTTTCTGTCTTAAGCTGTTTCTTGACACTGTCTTAAGATGTTTCTTGACACTCTGCAGAGGTATGGAAGAGACCAGAAAAAAGTTGATTTGGGCATAAAATTTTCTGAAAGTGTAGAGTAATCTTGCTTTAATTTTTCTGTCTTTCATAGCTGAGTGACTGTGTGACTGAAATGTGAAGCAGAGATGCTAATGTTGCTGCGTTACTTCACTGACTTGATGTCTCATTTCAAATGGTTTGGGTTTTATAGAGCATCGTGTAAAATAATGTTCATACTTCTTTCCGTTTTAATAATTTATTTTTTGCACTGCTGTATCCTTTTTCTACATGTTTGTAACTATTTAAGTGTACGTTACTGAAAAGTCCATTGCTTTATTTATTGACGTGGTTTATTGTGTTCATAGGGGGAATTAACAGTACTAGAAATGTGCAGTGTTTTTCTTTAGTCAGTTTTTTACTTCATTAACCCTACTTCTTGGACTCTTTCCGTTTCTATCATAGTAGAATAAGTTGAAAAGAATCTAGGGAGGATTCTAAGGTCATTAATATTCACAAAATCCACATTTTCTGTTAGAATTAAACAATATAAAGTACGTAATTGATTTGGTATAGATTATGGCATATGCCAGGGTAAAGAATTATTCTAGAACAGAGAGATAAATTAGAAGTGTCTTTTATTACAATCTCTTATAGGTATTTGTTTCAGGCATTTTGATTAGTAGTGTGTTAATTTCTCCCCAGTACATTTAAAGATAGGATTTTTTAGGAAGCATAATATTTAATTGGTTCTTCAGAGGGAATGGCTTTCAGCTCGGCCTGCATATCTCATATCTTCTCAGGGTTCTGAAGATCAAGACCTAAATCACCACTTGCTCAAACACTTGAGGGACTATACTTTTCTGAAAGTGTGTGATCAGATAGGTAAGCACCCTTTAAAAGTCTTTTTTAAAGACCCAGAGAAGGGACTGGAGAGATGGCGTAGTGGTGAAGAGCACTGGCTGCTCTTCCAGAGAACCCGGGTTCAGTTACCAATACCCGTATGATGGCTAATGACAGACCTTAACTCCAGTTCCAGGGGATCCAATGCCCTTTTCTCTCCTCTGTGGGCACTGCACAGCATGGGCACACTTGCACACATGCAGGCAAAACTCTTATACACATAAAATAAAAATAAATAAATAAAGACCTGAAAATGAATCCATGTTTCTATGTAAACACTGCCTGTCCTCCTGGTAACAGTGGGTGAAGGGCTCCAATGTAGAAGGAGAAAAGAGAATGAGAAGGCAGGAATAGCATTTTTAGCTTGTTTAGAGCTAGTCTGGGATTTTTTTTGATGTCATAAGAACCTGAAGATAGCAGAATATTGATAGTAGAGTATTATAATGTCAAAGAGAAAAAATAGGGCAAGGAAAAAGTGAATTGTCACAGTTGTTTTTATACAAACTACCCCTTTCAGGTGATTTTGGGTTGCTGTGGTATGTTGTTCATGTGCAACCCTTCTACTCTGTTAAGGTGAGTCAATCATGTTTCAAGAGATCAGTCTGAATTCTTCAGTAATCACCTTTGGCAAGAAACAGGAAAGGGAGGAAAGGGTGAGATTCAAATAATATAAAAGAGACTCATGTGAGCAGCAACCAAATGATCATCTGCACTTGCTTAATGGATACTGTGTTGTCAGGGCATTACTTCACCAGGTGTGGAATCATCTGGGCTGGTGAAGGACACAAGTATATGGAATGGAAATACAAGAGTGAGTACTACCCAAATAAAATCTACAAGGCTCAGGGAGCAAGTCCCCTCCCACATATACCGAACCAGATGTTCACTGCAAAGTCCTAATATGATTGTTTCCTGTTCTTTAGTGAAAATACAACAAAGAAAAATGGTCAAAAGTTTCTCCACTTAACTACTTGTGTTACTTTGGCAAGTAATTTAGCTTCCATTGAGCCTTAGTTCCCCCATCTATGAAATAGTAGCAGTGCTTGCATTGGAATTATACGGACAAGATTAGCATGACCTCCATGTAAGGATGACTTGAAAATTCATGAAGCATTCCATATTTTTATTAAAAATAAATGGGAGTGATATTGGTGACATATAGACTCATTAGAAGCATTAAATGAGGCATAATCAGAAATTACTTAGCACAGTGCCTTGATTATGGGAGATATTCAATAAATCATGGTTATTATCAATCATGTTGTAGAATATCATCAAAGGTCTACATTGGTGTAAAACACTGCTTACTTCCAATACCCATTTGCAACTGCTTTAAACTTGGGAGAATCCAAACCACTGATTCCAGGACCATAACTTGATGTACTCCCTTTTGAGGTTGAGACTGGGCAAGTTGGGCTGGGGATATAGCTCAGTGGGTGGAGTGTTTTCCTTGCATTCATGAGGCTCTGGGTTTTATCTCCAGTAATGTAAAAATGACTTTGGGAAAATGAAAAGACTGGAGAACAAATGAGGGTCAGAGGAAGGGACTAACTCTATGTCAATTTTTCTCCATTTCAATAAGGACTAAACGTAGTGCTGTTTGTGGGACTAGAATTCCTGATAGAATGGCAGCTTTAAGTTCTAGCTCCATAAAAATAACCAAACCATCCCTCCCTGTTCTCTAAAATGTATTGATAATCTCATCTATGCCAGAGTAATTAGATTTCACCATCTATGACTTCTGTACTTGAGTAATTAGTATTTCTTTATGCTACCCCAAATGACAGGTTCTATAACAATATGTTGATAATCTACCATGTATGGGTATTAAGCCAAATGATTTCATATATTTGAGCATATTAAATCATTTTATTTATTAGACAGCATTGTTAGTGCCACATATGGGTGAGAAAATGGAGGCTCGGCAATTTTAAATACTTTGCCCAGGTAATATGTTCATCTGGTGAGCAGCCAAGCTTGATTTTGAATTAACATTTTGAATAGATTTTATCATATATATTTATATATACTTATATATGTATTGTTTGTTTAATAGGCATGGTGGTCAAATCACAAAAGTATTCCAGTATCCCAAAATAGAAAGTTACAGTTGAAATGACATAAAATGAAGCTATACAACAATTCTCTTGTTGACCTACATGAAAAGGGAAGTTGTATTTCTTAATAAAGCTCCTTATCATAGACTGCTGGTTGATAAAGGAGTACCCAGTTCCAGAAAATGGCAATCTTGGCTCGGCGAAACTGCACGTCATGCTCAGCAAACTAGATCCATCTTGGGGTAGTTTTACAGTAAGCTTGTGTTTCAATAATTATGGGAAGTAGAATACAAGGAAAACCTTTGGTTTTCTTTGGGATGTACATGAACCAGATAATCAGTTGGTCATAACCAGTTTTAACATTTCCATACTGGTTCTGCTTCTAAGCTTAGCAATGAAGAGTATAGAGAGAAAAGACATTAAACTAAATCTCAGCGAGAAGGTCAAGATTTCTTCCTTGGTAGACAGTACCATTTTTGGGGGGCAGGGGGAGTGGTCTTCCTGTGTATCACGACTGACCTAGTCTTTTCTCTGTAGGTTATTTTCAATCTGTCTGTCTGTCTGTCTGCCGGTCTATGTGTGTGTGTGTGTGTGTGTGTGTGTGTGTGTGTGTGTGTGTGTGACAGGTGGCAAGCAGACATTATGCCTTTCTGCTTTGTACCATACTACTGCTGCTAGCTAAAAACCAGCAAAATGTAGAAAGCGTAAAATGAAGACATTTTCTATGGATAATTGGAAAAAAATAGTGCTTTTCCCTGGCCCAGGGGTGCAGAGAACTATTTCAATAGCTTGCCTTTTCTCAAGGCCGACTGCTTCAAGTTCAGTACTGCCTCAGCTGTAGGGTTGAATCATGGCGCACTTGGTGCTGCCAGCTCTGCCTGTGGGACTGGCTATGGGAGCCTCAGAACTCCCATACCTGGGTCACAGTACCCATATGTCTTTTACTGTCAACATGCAGTTTTTGATGGACTGCAACCCGCTGAGGAGTGCATTCCCCCAAGACAACTATATTTTCCAACATGAGAGTTTTATTCAGGGCTCATTCTTTGAGTTTCCAATTTGTTGATTTTGCATCCATTTCTATTCATCATGGTGGAAATGGACAGGCCATCAGCCTGTTCTTGGGCCTAGGGAATGAGGTTTGGATTCCTGATAGATGACAGCTGTGAGAAGCAACTGCTGCATGGGCTTCATTTTGTGGCACTTCCTGCATACAGAGGGAAGGAAGGGAAAGGAGCCATTGATAGTATATGCATTCAGTTCATTGTAGAATGTAGCTCCCACTTACTGCACTGATTAACTACTTAATAATAGGGATTGAGCACATCCAGAGGTGAAATGGAGACATTTTCAGTTTGAAGTGGGTGTTTCTAAACATGCTAAACTAACCTCCAGAGAGAAGTGCCTGTAACCTCTGTTCCTAGTATCACTTTCAAGCTTTTCCTTCATGCCTTTGTAGCATTTAAAAACTGTCCACAGCAGCAAATGTGATTAACAGAAGTTTACAAGGCAACACTGTAGCTTATGCATCATTTTAAAAGTTCACTGACATTCATCTATTGTTAAAGTAATGAGGATGTTATGAGATAAAAGAAGAGCAAATACTTCAACGTGGCACAGTTGGCTTATCATAGATAAACTAGTTTCATCATTGTATGCAGTTCTCAGTAATGCCAGGATTAAAACACCAAGCAAGCCACTTACACAGTGGCATATATGTATGTGTGTCTGATTTCCATTTGTTTATTAAGCAGCCATTTTACTCTTGCACTGTAATGAACTGAAGGGAAATTAAGATAACGCTCCCTCCCCTCTAATGCTATTCAACTACCTCTACATGCCTGATTTCTTTTTAGTTTCCTTCCAAATCTGTACAAAAGTGTTTTTAGCTCATCCATGTTCTAATTGCAATGTGATAATAGACAGTCTCTGTGAAAAGTATTTGTTCATTAAACAAAAGTTTCCTGTTGTCTCACTTTGTATCTACCAAAGCTGTACTAATATCTTACAAAAAATTATGTAGCTGGACCTGGTGGTACAGGATTACAGTTTCAGCTGCTTGGGAGGCTAAGGTAGGTAGGAGGATTAAAGGTTCAAAGCTTGCATGGGCTACAGAGTGAGCTCAAGGCCAACTTGGGCAATGTAGTGAGGTCTGGTTTCAAAACAGAAAAAAAATTTGCATGAAAGGGTTGGGAATCTAGCTCAGGCACAGCACTTACCTCGTATATACAAGACCCTGGGTTCCATTTCCAGTACCACAAAAAGAGAAAATAATTAACAAACTACTTTGCCAGAAGATGAATAGAAAGGAAATTACAGAGCATGCACTCTGTACTTCTTCCCATTGGCTGTAATATATTTGACCACAAGACCCTTTAAAGAACTAGGTCTCTGGCTCAGTGACAGAGTGCTTGCCTAGCATGAGTCAGGCTCTGGATTCAGTCCTCAGCACAACAAAAATAAGTAGATAAATACAAATAAAAAGATTCTTTATGGAACTAGATCTGCACCTAGACAGCAAACACTTATGTGTACGGCAGTGTAGCCGATAAGAATGGACCAATGTGACTGATGTGTTCTGAAACACTGGCTAGAAATGAACTGTTCTAAAAGAAAACCTCTGGAAAAGCTAGCTTGTATTTAAAGAGGTTATTTTGAAACATTTTCTTTTCTTTTCTTTTTTTTAACAGATATCCGACTTGGGTTTATTTGTATTTTGGGGGCATTTTTACTGAGAATTACATAGATGAATACAATGCATTTTGGTCATACCCGTCCCCACACCCCATTCCTCCCCCCACTAACTCCTCCTGGGCCCCACTCCAACATATTCCCACTCTCAACTTCCAATTTCATTTCATTTTTTTAAGCCACTGAGCTCAATTAGTGCTGTCCATATGCATATGGGTGTGGGACCATCCCCCGGGGCATGGGTAATATACCGGGGGCCACATCCCCGAAGAAAAATGACTTTTGCTCCCCCAGTAGCCATTAACTCCCAGAAGCTCCTCAGCTAGGGATTGAAGCATTTTTTAATCATCTGCCCCCTAGTTTACTTGTAAATGAAGCAGTCTTATATTGTGTTTGAGGAAATGAAACAATGCTGTACATTTTTACTTTATTTCTTTAAAAATTTTTATTTATCACATAAGCAAGTCTGTACCTTTTCATTTTATTTATTATTTTAATATT